TATGGTTGGTTGTCGTATTTGTTATGTGGAATATCAGAAGAAGTGTACAATAAATAGTCAAGACATTTGACAACTTAGATACATTAAGCCTAATTTAAAAACAAAACCCATCGCAAATGTCAAACTGTCACGTGAAAGTTCAAACAAACAACTTTAATGTATGCAAAACACTACTTCCCGTAAGTGCTTACAATACAAATGTCGCTGCACTCCGATTACGTATTGCATTTTTTTCTTCTGTTTTCAAAAACACACTAAATAATTTACCCTATTTGAGTTTGTAATTAGGGGCACCAATTAATATGATACATTTCAGAACACTCGCTCATATTTTTCGATAGAATACAAAATTTGCTTACAATCATTGATATCATGCCTGGCGTATCAGAGATAATGATATACTATCTTTTCGTGAATATTTGTTACAAATTATTCTTTTATTATTCAACGTTTCGTTCCGACAACACCTGCCTAACATAATCGATGGATGCACATACAGATTTGTACGTTCAGGCGTTGTCATGACAACATACAGATTAGATACGCATTCAGCATAGTTTTTTCAAATCAAACTTTTTGTTATTAAGACAATTCGGTGATTGACAGTATTATCGCAATAGACTCATAATATTCGACTCATAACGAACGCAGCACGGATCATCGTAGCTTATTAGGTTATATATTACTGCATTACATCGCATTCGCAATATTGTATCACAAATATCGAATCAGTATGACGTCATGCACACATAGGTTTATTTATGTAGCTTATTCAGCAATACACACATGACCGCCGAGTTTTTTGTTGAGAGCAAGAGAACCAAAAACGTGTTCTCCAAAATTGTTCCATTTCCTCCCGCCATCGCACCCAGTGTTCCTGATCTATGCACCGTACACGTATAATGTAAATGATGGAATCAAAATGAATAAAAAAAAAATCACCATGTAAATAAATTCAACGGATATACGAAGGCGTTCGTCGCCTTTGTTTTACCGTCCATTATTAATGCGTTTTGCTGGTGCTGTTTAATTATTTATTTGCATATTTCCCAGTAACTGGGTTTATCGTTAGCTATACGACTGCCCTACAGGATGATTAGATTTTGTATATGTTTGATTGGAAATAAAAGATTCACATTGTAACATCTGCTACGCGCAAATGTCACTGACTACGTGTAGCTAACGTGCTCCGGTTACAACGTTATGCTGGTAAGCCTTTTATGCTAAAGAGGCCTTTTTCGAGAGTGTATATTGATGTCGTTTTTTTCTCAGCAAACACGGCAGTAGTCCTTCAATGAAATAAGGAACAGTGTGTTTGGACATACGCGGTTGAACAACTTTTCAAATTTACGACTGACATATCAACGGGAATATAATAATAGATTTGAATATTAGCATTTTAAATAAACCGCCATAGATATTAAGCATAGCTCTGGGGAACCCATTAATGTATCATGTATCTGTATTATGCAGTATCAGTGGTATTAACTTTTTCACCCCCGTTCCCTCTTTTCATCACAAATTCACAAAATATTACTGTTTATAATCTGCACTTTCCTTCAAAAATTGTGACAAAAATAGCAATTTTTTCAATGTAAACGGAAAATTGACAAAAATTTTGTCTGAAGTCCTAAAATATTGAAGAATATAAGAATTTGGGTGAGAAAGTCTGGTGGTGAGAAGGATGAAGCTGTATTTTACTAAGCATAATACACCCCTTGACCGGCAAAGCAGGTTAGTTCTAGAGTACAATTTCAGATTGTGGCGTATCGGACCGATCTCTCCTAATATGCCGAAACATAGCTAGTCCGACTATTTTAGTGAGAATTGTTTTAAATTCGATCAAATTGAACGTAGGGGATTTAGTGTTTTCCTCACTATACTGCCACCACTGCCTATCTATTAATTAATGATGTGCACACAAACCGCTTATGGAAATACAACAAAATGTAATACAAATGTTGTCAATGTGTCCCAACCCGTTGAATGTATTGATGGTTCTAACAATATTTTTTTTTATTCAATGGCATATGATAATCAAATTGGCTACGAACGCAGCCAACTTATGATATTCAGATGTATTGTATTCGAATGAGATGGAACGCGCCAAAAAAACAGAACGTGCACACACGGGTAACTATTTCGTTTCTGTTAACGCAATAGATCATTCCTCGCGCACACATACCAGACAAATATTATCCGCGAAGACTAATCATCATATGTCTGAATGAAAAGTACAGTGCACCCTCTCGTTAAATACATATCTACTATATAATTATAATCAAAATTGTTATCGTTGCAGTCGCCACACCGCCAAAGTGAATACTAAATGCAGGGCTTCTTTCATTCCTACTTCTATCACGCTAAATCTATATCGAGTAGACAATGTTGCGTATAACGTGACATTATCGTAACGTAATACTGTATTTTCGCTCATTCGTTTCAGCATTAAAAAAAACCTGCCCCAAGCTTCATCGCTGATGTGTTTGCTTTGTGGAAACAATTAAGCGTGTCTTGTCTCTTCAAACAGGTACAGTCAACTGAGCGACGTGACTTGGAGTGTTCCATTACGAAATACATTTTACAGGGTTAGAATCACTAATTATGACTAAACATAAAATAATTGATTGACTTCCATGCATATGTATATTGCGATTCCCGTCGTATTTCATTCTATTTCTTCTTTTAAGTAGTTTTAGTACGCTTGCTAACTTGCTTTTTTCATTATATTTACCAGCATGCACTCGAGACAACCACGACGTATTATATAATAGACACTTACTGTACAAGACGGCCAACACGGCAATATAACGAGACACCCACTTCACGTCGCGCAAGTATCACCTGCCCATTGAGTTAACATGGCATATTTGCAAATTGCGCCATGGAAAGGTGTCATGCGAAAGGGAGTAGGAATGCTATGTAAATGATCGACACGAATGTGTTGACTGCCTAACTCGAAAGTAATAACGCGCATTCGATACACGTGAGATTGTGTGTGACAGATTGTGTGAACGCTGTACTGCACCGTGCAACGTACTCAACGCCGTTAACTGCCGAGCACTCCTAAACATGAACATAAAACAATCCATACACGTTAATTAAATGGCAGCTAATAGTATATCTATTGACGAAAGATAATTCTGGAATTACGTTAGCGTCCCGTGTACATCAAAGAGCTGAGATTATAATTAATGGAACATGCTTTAAATCACCACGGGAATTTGTGACCTTGGTTAGCTCGGAAACAGATACTTAGACTCGGTATATTCCCGAGATAAAACGATGTAAAGATAGACGGCGTTTATATACCGTTTAGCTCTTAAAATAGATGCCGCTTACACAGATTCAAGTATATATCAATAGCTAGAACGTGGTTTTGTGTTTCTCCCGATATTGTAATACGGATTACAATGTATGTTAATTTTTAGCGCAGTAATAAAGGTATAGCCGTCCTCCACACATCTATATATATATATAGTATCCATTCATTTCATATATACGTACGATTAACAAACATGCGACAGCTTTGTCTTACACAATACATAATATATTTATTAGACGATTCTTTGCACAGACACAATTAAATAACACATCAACTTTGAGATATTAGGAGCGTAATTAGTCAACAGTAAATATAAGATGTGTAAATATTTGGTGCAATACAATTCTCGGAATGATACTGAATGTTAGACACCGCTGCAGTAATGGCTACATCTAGTTTCACGTCGAATTCATTTATCTCATATGTATTAAACCCTACCTTCCCAAGCACTACCCTCTGTTTAATCATTCAAAAGTTGCCCGATGTCAGATACGCATGGGAGCAATGATATGATACAACAAACGTAGGTGAAATTAACATCAGATACAATTACAAATAAATACTTATTACTTGTATTGGTAAATTACAAGATCGAGAGAATAAAACACCTAACACGCAGTCGACTTACATAATATCCGGTTCGATAAGATACAAACGCACGAGTACAAACCTCATGTGACGCAGCTGAAATAATGTTCGTCCTTAAAACATGTTATACTCTATTTATCAAAATGTCATGAAAATGATATACATAAATGTAATTGTACAATTAGTATTATCAGAAATTAAATATATGCAATCATACACGTACATTATAACTAATTTGAAAATAATTTAATTAACACCTTCTTCGCCGCCATCCCCATGTGGAGGATGTAGCGTGTCGCAGTTAACATTCTCATGTCTTACGTTTTTGCACTTTAGTGTGGCGAGAAAACACTGTTTGAAATTCCCGTTAAGAAATGCGTATACAATAGGATTATTGAAACTGTTGCTAAAAGCCAATAAAGTGATAAAAGCCAATATTAATCTGTTTGTTTCATTATCTATAAATTTGGGAAATTCTCGTCGGATTGTGACGATGTGATAAGGAGTCCAACACACAAAGAATAGGAATACAACGAGGATCAGCATCTGTGTGGCCTTTTTCTTGCGTTTCGCAGCACTGGATGCCATCTGATGAAACTCTGATGTAATGGTGTTTTTAACCCACAGGTAGTGCCAGATGCGAGCATACAGAACTACCATTAATGCTAATGGTACCAGGTACGTCATCGCAACAACGAAAAAAGTAAAAGCCATTTTCTGTGATGAAGAGTACCAATTCTCGACACATAGTGCATACTCTTTTCCGTCACGTATGTCCGTGATTTCACGCAAGCTTGAAACGTAAAGTAAGGGAAGGGCAATTATCACAGAAATTACCCAGACTGCAGACAGTAGTTGAATAGCACGTTTGTTGGATTGTAGAACTCGACTTTTGTAAGGTTGACATATGGCGTTGTATCGATCCAGAGCTATGCACATCAACGTGAGAACGCTGGACGTGCTTGACAGTACTGTCAGAAAGCTTACTAACTTACACATAAACAAACCGAGAATCCAACCGGCGGTGATAGCTTCAAGTAACGTAAACGGCACCGAAACCAAAGTAACCATCAAATCCGAAATAGAAAGTGAAACGATAAACACATTGGTGACAGTTTGCATTTGCTTATTAATGACCACCACCGATATTACCAAAACATTTCCGACCACTCCGAGACAGAAGATTACGACGTAGAGTAAAATCAATACTACCCTCGATGATGGCGATAGATGGTGCACAACGGGGGGAATAGCGTCTACGTAATCATATTTATCGAGAAAATCTTCGATTGAAGTGACATTGAGAGCTGCTAGCAAATCTTCAATGCTTGTGTTCAATCCGAAGAAATAACTTGGCCAAACGTAATCGTCCATATTGAGTAGATTTTTAGCGAACGCTTACGCGGATTAGAATACTCGCTTTGTCGTCCACCTGTGAAAAACAAAACAATTCGCAATCATCACAAATACATAGAATAAGCCATGAATATACAGTGCCCGTTAGTTGTCAATTTAAGTTTTTTTGAACATAATCAGTCAAAGAATGTCAGATATATAGCTCTAGAACCATATTCATTAAAACAAAATAGCCGCCAGTCGGCCATTTTTAATCTGCTCTGAAATACAAAATAATGTCTAATATATGTACCACGTTTGAACAAAATACATCCACAAACGACCGAGATCCGGCTCAGGAATGCTTGATTTTTGATGATTTTTAGCACAAAAATGTCCACCATACGACCATTTTTAATCGGATGGTCAAACCAATACACCTGTATACCTATTGCATGATGTATAATGAATTTAAACAATCTTAAAACAGATCGTGAAACAACTCGATGTGCATATGTATAATATTATGTATAGTGTATGTGTGAAGTTAGTATGTAATCGGTCCAAGCATGTCTGAGATATAGGACTGGACGCACGTGCGGACACACGGACGCACGTACGTACATACAGTAGGTCAATATATAAGTCCCCGTTTGAAAATGAATTCGCATACAGCTCATTAACATTCCGAAAAAAGAATGAGACATACGTTAGCGAGCCTACAATCGTGTTAGTACGACGTTGTGGCTAAACATTATTCAACAGTCAGGGACAACTTCGAGATGATAAAATCAACATTGATACGGACGCTTGTATCACACGACATTACGTGGTAACAAGATATGTCTAGAGAATGCATGTAAAAACACAATTGTGGGCATGATATGCATAGATAGAAATGTACAATGATACGTGAGATAGCGATCATATGCAACCTTATCGCAGTGCAAGTAGAAAAAATAGATAGCGGCGAATGGGTGTGACGATTTCTGCCAGTAGTGATACGCGTGTATTGGCGCCTTCCAAGTCACATTTATAAAGATGTAAATTAAACACGCAATGTGCTAATTGCGAGAAAAATGTGCGCAATACGTTAATGAATGTAAAACACGTTACCTAGATAAACAAGCTGACAGGGTTACGGAATTGCCAATTATTCAACTGATTTGTTGTATTTCACGTCTCATCGCTGACAAGGATATGTCTGATAGCAGAAACGATGCCTAGCTGTTTGAACTCCTGTTGCCGTTATTGTGAGAGTTTACAAGATAAACTCGCTATTGGCCTCGTTCTCGATATATTATAATAAACAATCAAGGAAAACTGACGTCATTGTGTTCCAGCACACTTTCATATGTTAATTAACATTATATATGTTAGTGATTTACATACCCATTAGTTTACACGATAATGCAGTCGTCGAGGTTGTACGGCTTTGAAAGGCTTTCAAATGTAAATGCATGTTTTACATGCTTGTATTAGAAAAATACACTCGAATATCCTATATGTATTATTATGTGTTAACCCGACGTGATTCAAATTTCGTGCCCATCACATATATTTACCAATATGTTAGCGCGTATGTCTCGCATTTTCCTTGTGACGATTTGAAATATTGAGTATATAACTTCATTAAAACAATTAAAGCATTCATAAAAAGCGAACTAAGGGGTCATATGATCGTGCAAGGCATATTATACGTTTTTTGTGTTTTTTTTCTTCCCTGGCGTTATTCTATAATTTGAATATTCGCCGATTGTTGTTCTGGCAAGCATAACCTTTCAACTTAGAAAACACAAAATGAAGATGAATGTTGATTGTATATCTCACGGGTGCTGTTAAGTTGCAAGACGTATGTGTAAGTATAATTACTATGTCTAGCATTGTGCCCCGCATATTTAACAATGTACATTGAATTCACAACCCGGGGCAGTCACGTGTCAATGCACTGCAAATCATTTTGGACAGCGATGGGAAGTTACATTTCTAATGCAAAGATAGCCAAGCGCATTTTATGCTTGGTGTTTTTCTCAACTCGTGCGTTACTCGACATGTAGGTCCATAGAAATATTCGTACATGTCAGACAGCGAATGTGACAACTATGCACTTAGCGAGTTTTCCGCACATTTATTCCAGCATTATACAACTAGCTAATGCTCGTTGAAAAAAAATATTCGATATGGTCCCAATATACAAGCGTAAATGTTATAAAAGTATAAAAGTACCGCGGGCTCTTCTGGGTTATAAAGTTCGCCCGTGATAAAATGTCGAAGCCAGGGACGTGTATACGAGGTGACTTAAAACATGTCACTCAAATGATCTATATATATACATGCATTCCACACTTCATTCAGTGAGTTCTGTTAACAGCCCTGTACGAATGTATTTCCACAGAAAAGACAGATAGATTGCAGCTTTTATTACGCCTTACGTGAATGCTGTCACGTGGTTACGAGAATGTGCTGTCATTGTTACCGTCTAGTTGCATAATAAAATTGTGGCAGATGGACAGTATTCTCGAAGGTTGGATAATGAGCAACTTATTTTGAGTGAACATTTCCGACGACTTGAGTAAAGGCCATTGATTGCATGGACTTCATGTTTAATCATTACGTTACCAATTTATCCCGCCAAACAGTGAATATGTACTGAGGGTGTATCTTTACGAGATATCGTGATATCAAATTTGTGAGCAAACCGTATCTGATTAATTAATCTCGTGTAGTATTGGAAATGACTGGACTCATTCAACAATTGTTTGTACTGTAAGATCACTCACTCATGTGAGATTTTCTCTTTTGTATTGTATCTTATAGATTGTTTAATGTGTTCTCCTACATTTAGTTAGTTGCGGTCACGTGATGTAATGCACCTCATACGAAATGAAGCAAGATAGTGTCATGATAACTGATCCAATTACTGCGAAACAAACCTTTGTCGGTTTCCAAATAAATTTAGGTTCTCATATGTAAACTAGATTAGTTCTTTTTGAAGAAAATAAATGTCTGCCGGCGAAACTAAATAGTTATCCTTAATTCACCGAGCATGATCATGTATCCATCTTGTTTCTAAATAATGAAAAGATATTTTCTCTTGTGTGACGTCAACGGACACTGATGATTATTGCATTGATCCTTTCCCGTAGCAACGCAGTGATGCAACTCTCTATGACTTCAATCAATCGTGTCTAATGCTACTAAATTGAAATACAATGCAGCGGCGATACATTTGATAATGTCTCAAAATTGGTATATATATATAGATATATATATATCTATTTCCGCTCATTACTAGAAAAACTTTGAACCCCCCATCATTGAAAAACGTAATGCTATTTGATTACGTAATTGTTTATGTATATACATAGAAACGGAATGACATATTTGCTTGTGAATGCTCACAAAATTTCTACAAAAACCAAGCCCCGCCTTTGTTCCAAAAAACAGAGATTATGACAGTTATTAATATGAACTACTTGAAATCATTATTGTATTGACTCGGCAATAGGAACTATCGACCACTGGGGTGTCATATGTCATATAACATTAAGTAACAATAACCAAATTCTAAATTAAATGTAATGTTGATAACGTTCATTTGTGATTCGCAATCATGAAAAGGAAAAGACATAAGGCTGTTTTCAACAGAGCTGACAGTTTGCATTGTTAATGCAGTATTACACGCATTATTGGACGCTCACTCACCAAGAAACGTTACGTTTACTGGTCTTTAAACTTGTGAAACAACAAGAGATTGCTGCAGGCATTGTCAGAGCGTCTAGTCAAGCAAATATATATTTTTGTCAACGCTCTTGGCGCAGTATTGAACATGTACTAGACGATGACTATATCCAAAAGCAGTAATAATTAAATATCAAATAGGGCGCCGCCATTTGTAAGCATAAATTAAAACACATGCAAATTAAATAGTACTCCGAGAGCACAAATAACTGTTCAGAACCTGTTTAGCAATGGTGAAAAATCCTTCAAAAATGTACTGTCTCCATGGCAACTGGATTAAAATCTCTTCCAAAATCCAATCGTAATCCATTTAAAACAAATCTAGCAATAGTCATTGAAAACATTTTTGTTTCAATGACAACCCGATCAATATTTTTCTTCAATATTCTAACTGGTGTCTGAGTCACAAGTAATTGAGCGTTTATATGACAATCCATTAATAACGTTTCAAGCTATAAATTGATCTTTCCGTGACGACCGGATTTACATCTTTACTAAAAAATAATCGGTCTCCTTCCTTATTAAAGCCAACTTCTGATGAGAATGTTATAAGAAATCACCCATACCAATGTCAGTTATAACAGAAATAATAATCGATCCCGTAAAATGCTACTTCATGTTAACCGGACCCACACCTCTAGTAACATTGTTCTCCCCTCCTGAAAATGTCACGAAAAGCCGTTAATTAAAAATATTACAAAGAAAAAGAATCTTCATCTATATTGCTGCTTCAATGGCAACCACATTTATACTAACATTTAATGAGCTTGTCTCGGTGCCAAGGGCAACCTCTTCGTCAACAAATAAGTAACTACAACTTCTTGAGTTATCCTGCTTAGTACAAGGAAACACACAAACGTCGGCAAAACGTGACTTTTTGAACGAGGTAATGGTATCATTATGGGAAATATTATGTGAGTCTAAGGCCAGTCGCATATTTCTTTACGACGCGTTTCGTGATCTAGGAAGAGTAATTTGTTCTGTCGAGTGAGCAGTCGGCTGCTGGGAATGGCACGTCGCCGAAATAGCAAAACCGAGTGGAATTCTTGTAGCAGATTGTTGTTAAAGTGCCATGACAATGTTGCCTCGCCACTGTCTTCACACAGACTTCAGAATCGGGGTTGATTGTGGAGGCGGTGCTGGGGTATTTACAAGTATACACGTTTAATAGCGGGAGGGGTCGTCACCTGCGCACGCGCGCGAATTGAGTCCCAAGTGACGATAACAACACACGCTAAAAATCGCTCACGGGTAGACGCTTATTCGCGCAAACGCAGATTATATTCAAATATGACCAA